CCTCAAGTTGGAGGGGTGAGAAAGCACACCCAACTTGGAAACGATTGAGCGGTGTAGAGGTCTAGAAAGAGGTTTAGTAAACACATCTGCGAGCTGAGATGTCGAAGGAACAAACGATAACGAGATCAAGCCGGCGAGGAACTGTTGACGGACGAAGTGACAATCAATTTCTACGTGCTTCGTCCGTTCGTGGAAGACCGGGTTTTTTTGCTATGTGAATAGCTGCCTGGCTATCAGAATGAAGAGAAACTGGCAAAAAGGGGGGAACTGAGAGATATGTGAGAAGGCGTACAAGCCATGTGAGTTCTGCAACGACCTTCTTCATAGATCGGTACTCGGCCTCTACAGAAGATAGGGAGAGTAAAGATTGTTTCTTTGATTTCCATGAAACAGGGGATCATCTAAGGTTGATATAAAAGCCACTTACTGAGCGACGTGTCTCCGGACAGGACCCCCAATCTAAGTCACAAAAGGCGAGTAATTGAAAGGATGGGTCTGAATTCATAAAGAGCCCAAGCCCCTGCGAAGATAGTAAATATCGGTGACATCGTAATGCAGCATCAAAATGAGGTCGACGCGGACTTTGCATATATTGGCTCAGATGCTGAACGGTGAATGAGAGGTTAGGGCGAGTATGGATTAAAAAATTGAGCTTGCCCAATAGTCGCCTGTAGATTGTTGGATCATGAAGAGGCTCACCAACATCAGCACGAAGCTTGCAACTAGGGTCTAAAGGAGATGAAGCTGGACGTGAATCAAGGACACCAAACTTAGAAAGAAGGTCCAAGGTAAACTTCCTCTAACTGATAATTAGTCCATGTTTTTCTCGTAATATTTCCATTCCGAGAAAATAACTAGCTTCTCAAAGATCTTTAACTTTGAATTCTGAATTGAGAAATGCTTTTAACCTAGAAAGCTTTGTAAGATCATCACCCGTTAGAAGTATGTCATCGACATAAACAGCAACAATAAAAATTCCAGAAGCTATCTTTTTGAAAAATAAGGAATAGTCATTAAGAGAATGGGAATCACCTTTGAAATTGAGGGCATCAGTAAGTCT